AAACTTTTTTAGAGTGCGTCAAAACATGTTTAGAGTGCATCCAAACATGTTTAGAGTGCATCAAAACTTTTTTAGAGTGCGTCAAAACATGTTTAGAGTGCATCGAAACATGTTTAGAAAGCATCCAAACACATTTAGAGTGCATCCAGACATGTTTAGAGTGCATCCAAACATGTTTAGAAAGCATCCAAACATTGTAAGAGTGCGTCAAAACATGTTTAGAAAGCATCCAAACATTGTAAGAGTGCATCCAAACATGTTTAGAATGTGTCCAAACACGTTTAGAGTGCGTCGAAACATGTTTAGAGTTCGTCTAAAGATGTTTTGAGTGCACCAAAACACGTTTAGAGTGCATCCAAACACATTTAGAATGTATCCAAACATGTTTAGAGTACGTCAAAATATACTTAGAGTGCATCCAAACATGTTTAGAGAACATCTAAACACTTTTAGAGTGCGTCGAAACATATTTAGAGTGCATCCAAACAGACTTAGAGTGCATCCAAAGATGTTTAGAGTTCGCCGAAACATATTTAGAGTGCGTCGAAACATGTTTCGAGTTCAGCTAAACATGTTTTGAATGCACCAAAACACGTTTAGAGTGTATCCAAACACATTTAGAGTGCATCCAAACATGTTTAGAGTGCGTCAAAACATATTTAGAGTGCATCCAAACATGTTTAGAGAGCATCCAAACATTTTTAGAGTGCGTCGAAACATGTTTAGAGTGCATCCAAATATGTTTATAGTGCGTCCAAACATGTTTAGAGTGCATCGAAACTTTTTTAGAGTGCGTCAAAACATGTTTAGAGTGCATCCAAACATGTTTAGAGTGCATCCAAACATGTTTAGAGTGCATCGAAACCTTTTTAGAGTGCGTCAAAACATGTTTAGAGTGCATCGAAACATGTTTAGAGTGTATCCAAACAGACTTAGAGTGCATCCAAAGATGTTTAGAGTTCTACGAAACATATTTAGAGTGCATCGAAACATGTTTAGAGTTTGTCTCAACATGTTTTGAGGGCACCAAAACACGTTTAGAGTGTATCCAAATAAATTTAGAGTGCATCAAAACTTGTTTAGAGGGCCTCGAAACATGTTTTGAGTGCACCAAAATACGTTTAGAGTGCATCCAAACACATTTAGACTGCATCCAAACATATTTAGAGTGCGTCAAAACATACTTAGAGTGCATCTAAACATGTTTAGAAAGCATCCAAACATTGTAAGAGTACGTCGTAACATGTTTAGAGTGCATCCAAACACGTTTAGAGTGCGTCCAAAAACGTTTAGAGTGCGTCGAAACATGTTTAGAGTTCGTCTAAAGATGTTTTGAGTGCACCAAAACACGTTTAGAGTGCATCCAAACACATTTAGAATGCATCCAAACATGTTTACAGTACGTCAAAATATACTTAGAGTGCATCCAAACATGTTTAGAGAGCATCCAAACATTTTTAGAGTGCGTCGAAACATGTTTAGAGTGACTCCAAATATGTTTAGAGTGCATCCAAACATGTTTAGAGTGCATCGAAATTTTTTAGAGTGCGTCAAAACATGTTTAGAGTGCATCCAAACATGTTTAGAGTGCATCCAAACATGTTTAGAGTGCATCGAAACGTTTTTAGAGTGCGTCAAAACATGTTTAGAGTGCGTCGAAACATATTTAGAGTGCATCGAAACAGACTTAGAATGCATCCAAAGATGTTTAGAGTTCGTCGAAACATATTTAGAGTGCGTCGAAACATGTTTCAAGTTCGTCTAAACATGATTTGAATGCACCAAAACACGTTTAGAGTGCATCGAAACACATTTAGAGTGCATCCAAACATGTTTAGAGTGCGTCAAAACATACTTAGAGTGCATCCAAACATGTTTAGAGAGCATCCAAACATTTTTAGAGTGCGTCGAAACATGTTTAGAGTGCATCCAAACAGACTTAGAGTGCATCCAAAGATGTTTAGAGTTCGACGAAACATATTTAGAATGTGTGAAACATGTTTAGAGTTTGCCTAAACATGTTTAGAGTGCGTCAAAACATGTTTAGAGTGCATCGAAACATGTTTAGAATGCATCCAAATATGTTTAGAGTGCGTCCAAACATGTTTAGAGTGCATCGAAACTTTTTAAGAGTGCGTCAAAACACATTTAGAGTGCATCCAAACATGTTTAGATTGCATCCAAACATGTTCAGAGTTTGTCGAAATATGTTTAGAACACGCCAAAACATATCAGAGCGCATCCAAACATGTTTAAAATGCGTCGAAACATATTAAGAGTGCATACAAACATGTTTAGAGTGTACTAAA